TGTGAAATTAGTTCACAAATAAATTTAAATTGAAAAATATTGAACTCTTATTACAAACTCAATTGTTTAATCTTATACTTTAAAGATTAAATAATATTTGAAAAATGAATATTAAACTATTTTATTTAATCATTTTATTATTAATTGTTTATTGGACTCACATTTTCAGTGCAATTTAAATTAATGCGGTTTAGATATAAGCGAAAAAATGTTATAACTTAATATCTCATAATACATTTAATAAGTGAAATAAATGAGAGCTTATGGGTCAAAAATAAAACTCAAATATCAAACACTAATTGAAATATAATTGCATATTAAAGGCTTAAATTGTTTTCTAGTTCACATATTACAGTGAATAATATTTCAGACATTTATTGTCTTATAATGAAATTCTATTGCATTTTAATTGCAAGTTTAAGCATTGAATTCTTAACATATTATTTTCTATATACAGGTATATTATATAAATTTGATAGTGATTTGAAAATAATTCCTTGAAATGAGTCATTCATACAATGATTTCACTGAACAGTAAAATGAAAACTGCACTCAAGAATCGATACTATTATGTGCAACAAGAATAAAAAACTTATTTTTTCAGCCAAACTAGTTAAATATCTGTGAATACCTTTTTTATTTATATAGAAAATTTTGACACAAATATCAAAACATTGAATGAATCAGAGAGAAAGGCATTGAATTAAAAAAATAATCAATGAAAAGGTGGAAGTGATATGAAAAACTGGTGGACAGGAAATTAATTATTTCTCGTCAATCATGCAATAAACTGAACGTAAAAAAGTTGATTCACAACAAAATGAGGCACTTTTTGCCGACTGATACACTAAAATATGTGATGTTTTTTCAGACAACGCATCAGTTTTGAAGTAAATCTTTTAAAATTAGATAAAATCTATTTTTAAAACTTTGAAAACTTTTTTTTTAATGATAATTAGAGGCAAAGAATGTGAACAATATTTGTCATATATTTTGCCAACTAAATAATGTAATCGTTTTATTAATGATTAGTTTATGTAATAAATATTTTGTTATTTATTGCAAAAATAACATATTTAAAGAAAAATTCAATAAATTACTTATTTTTTAAAATTAAAATTTTCTGTAAAGTTGTAAATCATTTTCCGCAGAAGTGTTTAAATAATTTAAAAACAAGTGATGAGACGATACGGAAGTCTTTTCATATTACTTATGATTCACTAAATTTCCAAATAAATGTTTATTACTTTATAATTACAATATATTTTATTTTTTCAAACCCTCATCTATCCAAACATTTTTTGATGTAAAATAATAATAGTCTGAAAATACTACAATTTCTAAAACACTTCCAAATATCAATTTTTGAAGTGTGTTTGTATTCACTTTATAATGACTACAAAAATACAGAGCATTTGTGATGTGAATCACGATTTTTGTACAAATGGTTTGCCAACGACTGAATGATACAGTACCAATTGTATAATACACTAAAAATCAATATTTCTATTACATACACGAATACATGTATAATACCTTTAGTCGACACTAATATACCGAATAAGACATTAATATAATTACACTACATTGAAATTGCAATTTTTGTGATATAATACACGTTTTTCATTAACATCGTTGTCGAAGCAAATAGAGACAGAATAGTGACTAAAAATAAAAGAAAATTTTAATCGAAATATATATGTCTAACAAAAAGAGGGAGAGAGTGAGTATTGAACTGTAAAAAAGTGCTTTCATTTTAATACACTGCTATTCATTGACACTGAAAAAAGTCGATTTCAGGTAATAGTAAATGAAATTTAATATTTCGCTTCATTTAACATGAGTTTCACACCGAAAAACACTTATTGGAAAGTAATTGATGGCGAAAACAAGTTTTTTTAGTGAATTTAAAAATATATTTATTATAATATGAAAGGCATTTATTTATTTTATTTCCCGGATAATTTTCTTCACTCATTAATTGCAGTGAAAAATATAGTAATTTAATTGAAATTTGGCTTATATTTGAGGTAAATATTCAAGTCAAATGCTCATAAATGCATAATATTCTCATATTTATTGATTAATATGTATTCTAAGGTTAAATAAAATATTGAAATCAATTTTTTCCCAAAATAATTATCTGGGATAATTAGCAAATAGCCCCAACTATGTAAAGCCAATGGCAACGCCTTCATTGCCACTTATAATTAGTGGAGAAGTTTTTTTGACTTTAAATTTATTACTCGCGGCTTAAGTAAAAGTTATGGAAAAAAGTTTTAAAACTTTTGATATCTATAATAATGAATAGGGTTTCCATCGGTAGATTATTTTGGCGTTCCCTTCCCTTTCCACTATAGCCATCAAACGCATGATTTTCACATTTTTTATATAAATCATAGCAATTAATAGCAAATCTTCGTTGGGAACAAACAATTATGCGAAAGAATTTTCGTACTTATTATAAGCCGGCACTGAATGTCAAACTGTTGTTTCAATACAATTATAGCATTTATATAAATATTTTGTATTCACGAAAGGCTTTGTGATTGTGAAATGGGTTTCAAATATATAGACAGTCTTTGGCAGGTCTTCGACAGTCAGCCAAACAGTTAGCAATCAGAGAGAGATTTAGTCGACAAAAGAGTTTTTCATTCAAATCAAATCAATTGAAGCCTCGTTTGAAATGAACAATTATAATGAATAATATTCTTATGCCAACTATTCTGACAAATTTATTACTTCCGAATTTAGTTTATTATAAAAAGCGAGTCTCTCTCTCTCTCTCTCTCTCTCTCTCTCTTACAGTTCTAATATATTTTTACTGTTAAGTTACTGAGTAAGGGTGTCAAAAAGTAACTTTTATTGTTTGCTTAACTATTAATTTAATCATTAAAAATATGTTAAAAAGTAAAAACAGAAATATAACTTAATTAAAATATTGTATATTTTTAAATAAATTGTACACAAATAAAAAATGAATAAAATATCAGACAAATATAGACCTAACTTCTTAACTTGCTGATCATATATGGAAATATTTGACAATCTTGTCATAATAATACATATATGACTGCACAATACCAAAACTACAATATATTTAATGCATTTTTATGGCATTAAAAACTTTGAAATTCGAGAGCAACTGAAAAAATGTTGTGAAAAATACTACAATATCTAAGAATACATTTTCTGGAAATAAAAGTTATGCCAAAAACTTCTCAAACAAATAAACTTCTTACGGAAAACTAATCTTTTTGTTTGAAGCCTATTGTGATCTCACAGATAGTATTGTACTGAACAACGAAACTACGAATTGAATGGAAAATAAAGAAAACAATAAAATGAGAGACAATTAAATGAATTGTTAAGAAATGGCGAAAATAATTAAATGAGAAAAAAGTTATTTTCTCGAAACTAATCATAAATTCATAATAATTATTGCATTACTTGTGAGTAAAACATGAGCTGCTCTTTGATTGAAACACAAAATTGTTAAGAAATGGCGAAAATAATTAAATGAGAAAAAAGTTATTTTCTCGAAACTAATCATAAATTCATAATAATTATTGCATTACTTGTGAGTAAAACATGAGCTGCTCTTTGATTGAAACACATTTGCGATCGTTTCTGTTGGCTTTGATCTTCAGATTGATGACCGCGTCGACCGACTCGACGGTCGGCAATAAGTCAGCGATAATGCGGGCGTTTTCATGGATGGGTCGCTCGAAGGGCCGTAATATCCAATAGTGTTGACCACTGGACACAAACAGCGAGCCGTTTGTAAAGTTAGTGATGGCATCGATCGTATCGATCGTGTAATTGCAATGTGAGGGCAGATGCGAGGGATGGCTAACACTTTGGACACCACTTCCCCATAATAACACAATTAGTAGTAATAAATAAATGTGTATTAAATGCGAGACATTCATTGTTTCTGTCGGTTGTGTTTGCTTATGAACAAATCAAGTATATAAAACGCCAAGCTAAATATTTACTTATTTAATGGAAATCCATTAATAAAACAATTATCCAGGTATTGTTTTAAAATAGTAGTAGTATTCACAATTACAACATTCATATAGAAAATGCTTTCAAAAAATAAAGTTTGGAAACAAACCACAGGATTAGAGATTAGTGGAGACTATGGGTGCAGTCAATCAAAAGGCTTAACCCATTCATTGATGGGTTCTTTAAAGACAGTGAAGTTGTGGTTAAAAAAGTTTTATAAAAGCGGCAAAAACGAGGGGCACATACACTGGTACTCCAACACACACCACAAGAGCACTGGGAGGCAGAGGTACACACTATTAGCTGAGTATATGTGTGGATGTGATACATCCACAGTGACACCAAAACCAGGTCAACTTAATATACATCGTCTGAAAGCCAAGATATAGACCTTTCAAATGAGCTATAGATTTATAAAATCTGAGTCGTATTTTTTATTTTAATCACATTTCAAAAATAATGATTTTTTATAGTTTTTTATACCAATCCCATATTTTGCCCATAGAAACAATGTATTTTTTTATAATATTTGACTCCTTTTAACTGAATATTATACCTCGAGTTATGGTATATACAGTAAAGTCTCGCATATACTGTATTATATAAACCTTTTGTTTTCCGTGAATCATTTGCTTTTATCAGTTGTTTATATTAGACAATAACTAATATAAGATCTAATATTCTCACATCATATGCATGTAACCTGTATATGACCTTGTTATTGCATTATAATAACAGTTGTTAAGACATACGTGAATTAAGAGAATTGAATCTGTTTAAGCAAAAGAAATCTGATATTGTGGACACAAACTAAAGCATTTTGTACTGTAGATACGGGCAATTATGCTATAATAATTAAAACAAATTATCGTATTAATTATCGCAAATTAATCTGACATAAAAGATATCCAATTTTTATTATATTTATTTAGTTAATTATGTGATTTAAACCGTTTGAGACTATTGTGTTGAATCAATTGGAGATATATATGGAGGTATTGGAGGTGTTCATGGCATATATTGCATGATCTCATAGCACACCTCATGCGTGGTTAACATGGTAAGCTGTTGATCAGTAATTTAGTTTTAATTCACATGTAATAGTGAATGATTGAGTTTTAGTGAGAGAGGGAGAGAGAGAAATCTGGAATGTTATACAGTAATAAAATACTAGTTTTTTGAAAGTGAATTATTATATTAAACATGAGACAAAATATGCACTAATAAATATGCACAAAATAATACATACCGCTATACATCATGGGGTTGAATGGGTTGTCGCCAATTTGTGACACCAAATGACAGTTTGCGACCAAATGGCACTCCAATGACTATCAATGGACGCCCGGATACGACCCGTGCTTTTAGTTGACTGCGCTTTCAGTTGAATGAGTGCCTCTCGACTCGCATTCATTCAATACACTGATCACACCATTGACTACTTGTTAAACACTGTCTGGAACCATAGGCCTGTGCCAAACTTTTATGTAATATGTTATCAGATATAGTAACTATAAGTAACTAAAAAACACCCCACATGCATGGCCCCTTAATAATGGCTACCGTAAACTCCAATCGTTTTTCTGGTGCTTATCTCTAAGACATTCATCCGATAACAATTGGCTTAAACTTATTTCACTGAGTAAACAACTTTTAAATGTCGCACCGGTATTGGTTTTGTGTATATGACATAACGGTAATAAACGCATTGTCAATATCAATGATGATGTAAATGAGTTATCGGTGAACTGTATTGGCTATTATCAAACAATTTCATATATTTTGGCAAGTTTTATGAGACCTGCAAATGTTTAATATTTCAGTACCTAAAATACGACTTGATTGTGTATATTTTCAAAACATTTTAAAACACTATCTTATTTGTATTTTGTATTCAGTTATCATGTTTAAATTTTTAATGAAAAATCGCACATACCTTTGGTATTTCTTGCACTGATTTGATGAAAACATATTTATAATTAACTTATAATCAACGTATATTTATAGTAAATATAGTATATTTTGGTAATCTAAGTGCAATATAAATGAACATTTAAGTAACAGAATATAAAGCATTTTTATGTGCTGACTAATAATTAATATAATTTTTTAATTAAGCTTATTGTGTGCGTCTTACTAAATTACTTTTTAAATAATAACAGAATATACAGTATGTTGTACATTGAAATTCATATTTATGTTTTGATAGTTGACAATTTAATGTAAGATGTCCGGAAAACTATAGTCTAACAACTGGCTTTAATTTATGTACAATATTACTGTAAAACAAATACTTTAGTATAAAACTTTGGTCATGTTAAACAACGATTGCTAATATAACCTTCAATACTTTCTCTAATACTGAAAATATATGCAATATAGTTCGCTAGAAAAGGGGGAGCATGGGGGAAAAATAATATTGATTTTGCGATCAAGGGTTAAATGAAGGACACGAAATGTTTATTGTTTGCACACCCTTTTATCTGGTAGTCACAAAAAGCTGACTATTAGGATATATATAGTAGATATGTTTCATAAATACCTTACACCTGTATTTTTTCCGACGTTTTATTAAGTACTTTTTACAAAGTCGAAAAAAGTACTTAATAGAAATCGGAAAATTCAACTTTTTATTAAGTACTCTATTTCCGACTAACTTTATCATTTTATTCCCAGTTTTTGCTGTACTATATACTCACTGAACAAATGCAGCTAATAACACTACTACTGTACAATATATTACAGTTCAGTACTGTATAGTAATTTAAATGAATGCAATTGAAGTTAATAATAAATTATTTTACTGTGATTTGTAAAAATGATTTCCTATGCATTGCAGGCCTTATATACTGTATTTCAATGGAAAAAGTGCATTCACTTAATGCTAGATTTTGAATGTATTTATGAATTCACTTTCATTAAACAAACTTAAATTTATATTAATAATTAAATTTTTAATAATATTGTATCATGTTATTAATATGCCTTAGCATAACCATATTTAACCTAATTTATAATTTAATAAAAATACAAACTATTATTAATTCAGTTACCAATGAATAATCACCAAATTCTTGACATATAACACAGTATATTCCGGTCTATAGAGAACTGAACATTGAGTCAAAAATACTATAATTATCATTTATTCATAAGTACCCGGCATAACTTTTGATGCAATTGATATGAAACGCGATAAGAGTTTGAGATAAAAAGTTTTCACATATTTTTTGTTATTTTACTTTTCAAAGGACGAGAACAACACTATTTCGGTGAACATCTATGAGGACGACAAGTGGACAGTTAGGCACAGTGTGGCCGATGTGGACGTACTGAACGCCGCTAAGTCTGTGAACTGGTCCCAACCCATCGACGCGTTTGGTTTCTTCGAAGACATTTTTGTCATATTTCAAGGTTTGGCCATAAATTGAAAAATATCTCCCAATTGAGCGCAACTAATAATAAACAAAAACTGTTTATTTGAATGACAGGAAACTTCTACACATCCATCAAATGCGAAAACGGGGAATGGGCTGAAGTGCGGCACCTAAACATCCCGACCTCCTTCTCGGGAATCCAGGGGCCCATAGACTCGGCTAACTTTATTAGGACCGGCGCTCCCATCGACGACGCCTCGCTCTATATGTTTAAATCGGAAAACTTTTTCATTTGTCCCGTCTTTGGAAACGAAGTAAACCACACTTTTGTCTCACAAAATAAATTTACTTAAAATTTTTATAAATTACTAATTTTGTGATTGATGTGGACAGCCATGCAATGGTCCGCTTTCAATAGTCGATGACTTCTTCATGTTTGATGAGGAGTGTGGTCTCAGCCCGAAGTCTTCGACAGCGAATCTATTGAATTGGATTTTGATCGCCTTTTTGGTGGCCATTATTGTCATCGTTTTGTTGGCCTTTTGCTGCTATGGAGTAGTGTTACGGTCGCGACAAATCACGTTTTGGGTGAATAGGAGGCGCGCGAAGGACCCCAACGCCGGCCTCACCTACGAGGCCCTCAATGGTCAGCAAATGGATGTCACCAACAAAGGAGTCGAAGCGAAGGTATTATTAGTGTAAATGTCTAGCAATAGACTCGGGTTTTAACAGTTAGACAATGTTTGCACAAAATATCATATATTATGTCATATTTGTTGAGAATATATGTTTGGATTTTGTTTTGTGCACTGATTTATCACTTTATAAATTGATTTGAAAATTTATGTGATTCAATTGAATGTGAAATAAGCTTTTTAATTAATTTTATACAATATATAAGTAAATTAATTAAACTTTTTCAATTCACTTGTTAAGTGTCCGAAACTCAATTCATGAGTGAATTTATTCTCATGTTTTTTCTCTTACAGAAAAAGTTGATAACAACTCTTTAAACACACATTTCCGATATGATATCACACCTAATGCTCACAAAACTATTAAATGACATTAAAACAAATAAATAGGTTATTATGCAAAACATGTATTGATTTTAATGCTTTTATTAATGTTGTATTTTGTGTTTGAATTAATACACGCATTTGATATGAATTGTTATTTTCAATGCATGATTATTTGTGTTCAATAACTGTGTGAATGAATGAATGTCTACTAAATCAGCAATTTCTTTGAAAACATGTTTTAATATATTTATAACTAATCATCAAAATTGTGTTCAACTCTAGGATAAGACAACTAATGGTAATGGAGTTGAGATGACATTAGAAGACCAGACAAATACTCCGTTCATCGATACTAATGGCAAGGATGAAGAGGTCCACCATTAGTACCACTCCCTTACCAACCATTAAATTGAAGATCAAAATACAAATTTTATATTTAATTAAATTTAGTGAATGTTATTAAAGTTTCTTTTTTTGTTAATTTAAATATTTTTTGTCATCCAAAGTATAAATTTAACATTTATTTGTCCGATATTTAAATTAGTCTCTTATTTAATGCATAAGTTTCGAGTCGTTTACTGTAAATTAAATTGAGTTTTCAATATAAACATTGATTTGTTATTATTATTTTTCATTTATTATTTAAACAGAGATTTAATACTAACAATATTGCTGTAATATTTAAATTCACATTAAAACGGATTGTAATTTAGGTTTATTTGAAAGTTTTACAGTCATTAACATTGAAATGAGAGTAAATGTGTTCATTTAGTTTGAGAGCCTATTGTTGACTACACTCAGTGTGGCTATCAATTCATAAAAGTGACAATTTTTGTAACTAATTATTCATTTTGTATTTTATAGTCGATTACAATTTGAATATCTCACTTAATTACCTCTCATCTCATAATGTTTTGATAAATACTGCTTACACTAAAAACTTACGCTATTCAAATACATTGTTTATTTAGCACATAATTTTTAACATACTTTTCATTTTGGACTTAAAGTCCGAATACTTTTTTTCAAAACTAATAAATTAATTCTTATTTTACTAATGAATGTGTTTTTATTAATCACATCAAACCCATGAACACAAACACATTTGCGGCGGACGTGTAGTTGCGATGACCGGCGAACCATCAGTTGAATTAGGATTTGATGGCATGTGTGCTAACTCTGGAGATAAAAAGTTTTCAAAATCTGAAACATCCGTCAAATTGTTGGGAAACTCCGAGATTTGTGTCACATTGACGGCAATTATCTCATGAGTTTGATTAGCGGTTATATTGCGGCCAATGGTTTGGTTATGGATGCGACTAATGGTGTGATTTGTGTTGTGATGTAACGTACGGCTCATAACCGGCGGATGAGTGGGCGGAACAGGTCTTTGTCGACAAAATCCTGGCACACAATCCACACAAAGAGAGTCTTCACATCTTTTCGACTCAATTCCTCTCATAATTAGATTTCCCATTGATTTGCTTTCTGACGGGTATTGAGCTCTGATTTTATCATTCCTTTGAATGATATCGTGACGACTGTCCGAAAGGTAACCGAAACCATAATTGAAAGACAATGTCTTCAATGACATTATAAGTCCGACAAAAGTTTGACAAAAAAGTTTTTACTTTTAAAAAACAAGTTTTTATTGGCATTCCAAATACAATTATCAACAACAAATCAATTATCTAGGCCACATAATATTATTGTCAATTGACATGGTTGTTAGTGCCCAGGGTGCCTCCATTGAAGGAGCTGTGCGCTCCAACGGTGCTGTGAGTTATGTTGACGTTATAGTGGACGACAGGGGGCTTAGTGGAGGCGGCGACGGCTGGGGTGATGTCGCCGGTGGGGGTAATGGGCGCGTCGGTGGCGCTATTAGGGGCCGCTGGTTTACCGCTGATCAGCATTTTAACCTTTTTCATCGCCACCACTATGTTGATAGCGTAGTCCCCATTCACCAGCACATAGAGCGCTACGGGAGTGGCCATTACAGCGACACCGATGCTCACCCACACGAATGGCGACTCCCAGCCCCTCACAGATGGGGTAGGTGTTAAGACCGGTGTAGGTGGGAGTGAGGCACTGGGAGGCACCTCCGGACCTTGGAAGTTGTTGCCATGAATTGGTTGACCGTTTGGTGCGCTAGATCTTTGACCAGTAATCGCGTCGGTATAGGCGGGTGTGGACTGGAGGTCAGGGGGTTGATGTTTGAAACAGGTGGGTTGATGCACCTGGGCCTCAGCGGCCCCCACTGACTGTATTTGGACCACGGACTGAAATGATAAATATTATAGTTATATAATTAATAGCGTGTGAAGAATTAAGATGTAGGTGCCGTCAAGTGTGTGTAAATCTATATTAATTTAATATAGATTGCAGTTTATTTACCGGTTTATATAAAACTTATAAGAACTATAAAAACTTTGATAAAATTTAAATATTGTTATAAATAATCTCAAAAAACTCACAATTAATAGAATGGTAATAAATCCAGCGTATAATGCGAATCCATTGAATCCTATTGCCTGTGATTCACTGTGATGAATTTCACCCATTTGCGAATCTGAATCATAAAACAAGCGTTAAACGCGTTGACTAATAAAAATGTATCGTAAATACAATGGTTTTATGGCAGTCTCACACTTCATTCATCGATGAATGAATGAATAATTTATTAATTATAACGAGTGTTGATTAATACATAAAATCTTGAGTACATTATAAAAATGATACAATAGTTAGTAATATGAAAACAATCTCTAATTTTTATATGTATTTACAAATTAATTGTACAAAAACATTTCATCATTCATTCATATATATATAACTGTAAAGTTAAGATGATTTGATGCTATGATTGTATGAATATACGAGGGAATTAATTACCATTTATGAGTATTTATATATTGGCGGTCAATATTCGCGGTATATCATACGATTTTAAAAGTTTTGTTTTATTCCTGAAAACTTTACTATATATTTTTATTTAAGAGAGAGTGTGAGAGAGAGAGAGAGAGAGAGAGAGAGAATCATTACTATAAAATAACTTAAATAATACAATCATATAAATTTAATACACAGTAAGACTTTAAAATTTACCATAATATTCATTGTGCTATTGAAATGGTAAAACATAATTTAATAGCTTTCACACAAATTTAGATACCGACTTATATTACGTGTATTTAAGATAACAACGATTAGTTATTCGTTTATAGTGTCATTACTGATTACACATATATTATATTCAAATTTTATACACAAAACTAATCTCTTGATTGACAGTTATTACTGGCATTACGCATATCAATCGTGAGACATAGCTATAGATTAACACAATTCATGTACTCAAACTAGAAATTTACATAACTGATTATGGCATGCACCGTAATATTGTATCACTACTGACTACTTCAACAACAAAAAAGTTTGTGTTTTAAGTGAGAATTCAATAAAATATTTTGGTTATTCTAAATTATCAAAACAATTATGGGCCAGGTTAATTTAGTATAAGGGGTAGGATTTAATAACCGGTTACTTTGGGACACTATAGTAGAATGGCTCTAAAATTTTATATAATTCAGTTGCAATCAATTTGATTTGTGGTAATAATAGTCCTAATATGTGGCTTTAATTCTGTATATATGTTTCATTAAAATGATTTAATATAAGGTAGTTAGTACAGTATGTTAAAGTGATTAATTGACATGTTTTGATGTAGAAAAGAAAAAATACCTTTGAAAAACAAATTATAATAATTGTCAAAATGAAATTAGATTATTATAATATAATTGAAATGTATTTTATTTTTTATTATCTAGAAAACTAAATTCTATTTTATTATGAAACATATATATCTATACATTACTAAAAAAGTAAAAGATGTAACTATTTATTTAAAGTATCACAATTTATTTATATAATGAGTTGTTTAAATACAAAATATTTATTGTTAATATCGTTGGCTATGCTCTGGTTTCACCGGTTGTATGGCCTATCATTTGGTGGCCTAACCATTGATCGCCGCACCGGGAGGTTAGGTAGAAATAAATTGTATCAATTATACGGCTATATTGTGACGTTGATAATAGTGATTTCAAATATTTATCAAATTTATGGCGATATNAAACACATTCATTAGTAAAATAAGAATTAATTTATTAGTTTTGAAAAAAAGTATTCGGACTTTAAGTCCAAAATGAAAAGTATGTTAAAAATTATGTGCTAAATAAACAATGTATTTGAATAGCGTAAGTTTTTAGTGTAAGCAGTATTTATGAAAACATTATGAGATGAGAGGTAATTAAGTGAGATATTCAAATTGTAATCGACTATAAAATACAAAATTAATAATTTGTTACATAAATTGTCACTTTTATGAATTGATAGCCACACTGAGTGCAGTCAACAATAGGCTCTCAAACTAAATGAACACATTTACTCTCATTTCAATGTTAATGACTGTAAAGTTTTCAAATAAAACCTAAATTACAATCCTTTTTAATGTGAATTTAAATATTACAGCATTTATTGTTAGTATTAAATCTCTGTTTAAATAATAAATGAAAAATAATAATAACAAATCAATGTTTATATTGAAAAACTCAATTTAATTTACAGTAAACGACGAAAAACTTATGCATTAAATAAAAGACTAATTTAAATATCGGACAAATAACTGTTAAATTTATACTTTTGATGACAAAAAATATTTAAATTAACAAAAAAGAAACTTTAATAACATTCACTAAATTTGATTAAATATAAAATTTGTATTTTGATCTTCAATTGAATGGTTGGTAAGGGAGTGGTACTAATGGTGGACCTCTTCATCCTTGCCATTAGTATCGATGAACGGAGTATTTGTCTGGTCTTCTAATGTCATCTCAACTCCATTACCATTAGTTGTCTTATCCTA